CAACAAATGTAATCACTCTCTCTCTCTCTCTCTCTCTCTCTCTCTCTCTCTCTCTCTCTCTCTCTCTCTCTCTCTCTCTCTCTCTCTCTCTCTCTCTCTCTCTCTCTCTCTCTCTCTCTCTCTCTCTCTCTCTCTCTCTCTCTCTCTCTCTCTCTCTCTCTCTCTCTCTCTGTGCATTTCTTCGATACATGCTCCTTCTGCATTTCTATTATTAGTCTTTGAACCTACAATTGATGTCACATCTTAGGAATATGGGGGAAAATTAAGGACAAAGCAAATAGATTTGTTTTAGGTTTACCTCTTTGGCCATGTCTGCAAATGCACATCCCAAACACTCAAGGGTATCATCTACCAACTCTGCTGACCTTGCAGCAAAGAAACCCTCCGCGTCACTCTCAAATTGAGCACCAAACGCCTCCACAACTTCATCAGAGCTACTCACGTAGCTTATTCTTCCTTTATTCCATGCACAAGATCCTACTTTGGTGACTTGTTCAGGAACCCTACTTAGCCAGTGAAGGCAAAAAGCGGTGTGCATCAAGTTCATCGAGGCCTTAGGAAGAGCTGGCCATGGAACGAACCTGGAACTCTGGCCACCATGTAAGTCCTGTCAATCAGGAACGCTTTGAATAGCGTGTTGAAGTCGTTGGCAACATGGTCGATGAAGAAGACGTGGAGTTCAGGCAATTGATTTTTGAACTTGAGCTTCACAGCTTCTATGATAGTCTGGACGCAAGCAAAGGTGTTGGGTCCAACATTATCCAAGGCCTGCAATTCTCAATACTGGTGCGATATTGTTGTGAATTGTGAGGTTTTCTTGGATGGTTTCTTAACCAGATCTTTGCGGCATCAAATTGCTCTGCCTGCCATAATTGTAAATTTTATAATCATCATAATAATTTGATAGTGTGAATGTTCAAGAAAATCAAATATAAAAACCTCCCGGATTATAATAGTGCCCAGAGAAAGTAAAAAATGTGTGTGAAATTAGCTAGCCTTGGTTCTGTTCAGCTAGTTTATCCGAGGTCCCGAGCTCCTCCTCCACAATATTAGTCCTCTGTACAAAACAAGCACACTATATTGGTGAGGTAATGAAAGGGAGAGAGATGGATATAAAACTGTAACTTGGAATTCTTCTTGTAGCTGTTGAGGCCATCCCCACCGTTCATTGCAAAGGACTCGCCCTTCACGCTCTTGCACTTGAATCTTGACTTTGCCTATTTTATTTTAGAAACTCAGATATTGTTTCAATTTTCCCCCTCCCATGACTTCTTATATAGATCTCAAGTAATAAAATACCCATGGCGTAATGGAACTTAATAAAAAAGAAAACTAGAGCCATTTGATTCCATCTATTACGTACCTTGGGTCGTCAAAATGCTCATCCCTAGTCATATCTTAGGTTATTAGAACAACTAAAATATATTGCAAATTTGCAATCCGGGTGAACTCTTATTCTCTATATATAAAGGCAAGCCCAATAATTATGGACATTTACGTTTGTGGGACGTACAAAGATCACTTCACACACGTAACTTTGCACTCATATTAGAATTAGAGTAATGTTCACCCTTTAATTTGGTCGCAATGACACTACCTCTACTTATCACATTAGATAAACAATATCATCACAATAATTTGTTAGGTTCCTAACCTATTGGGCTTAACTCGTTTATGTAAAACTAACCCTTCTGCACCCGCCTTGCGCGTGCGAAAGGCTTTTTTTACATCCTGACCCGCTATGTGCGGCATATAGAATTTCATTAATCAAGGTGTTGCGTGCCCCTAAAATTCTTTTAAATAAACGACGTTTATTTGTAATCTTACTCTATGTCTTTCTATCTTTTACTTTAGATTAATCCACAATACGTAATTTCTCTACCAATTTCTTCTTTTGTTAAAGGCCTTTTATTTACCTAAAGAATATATATTTGGTTGAGAGGTCTGTAAAAAAAATTCAAATGATTGAGATCATTAGGGCATTAGGGTTGTCATTGAACATGGCATATCATCAACATCATCATACTACATTTTTCTTTTGTTTAGAATTTGCTGCTCTTGTTTCTTCTAGTGCCTAAAATTATAGTCTTCAGTTGAAGGAAAATAATAGATAAGATGTCAGAATAAATGAAAAGAAGACAATTTATTTACCATTTCACAACAAATTGCAATATCAATTTTTGTTTCTTCCTTTACTTTAAAAATGTATACAACATAATTAAATACATTTTGTCGAGCAATGAACAAAAGAAATTGGAAGAACCAAAAAAAATGTTTGTTCACCCTTACAGTCGCAATGTATTGTGGTACATTCATGTTTGCAATTATATCCAAATCAGAATGTAGATCGTTGTGTATTGATCTGCAAAAAACCACGACACAAAAAAAACTAAATTAAGGAATTGTTAGACATCTAAAAATGCAAAGACATGGTTGTTTGTTTCTCTTTTTTCTTTTCAAATTTATATCTCAGCATTGAAACTTGTTATACAAAGAAAATGTCGCATCTCAGTCTCGACTTCGCCGTAGCACGATATTGTCCGCTTTGGGCGTGACCTCATGCTATAGGAGGTAATAATATCGTCTAAGAAAAAACGTTTGATGTAACTTCAAATATTGTTATAGATGTTTGATAAAAAAAATAAAAAAACATATATACGCATGCCTTTGGCAGAGCTAGGAATAAAGAAATAACAACGGTCGTTTACCTTTGGTAGTTACTAATATTAAAACAGCCCTTTGATTTTGCAGTCACATTCATGCTTGTGAAATGCAGTGGATATCCATGCATGAAGCATCAACCGTTTTCCTTCCTGACAAATAGACAGTTCACCTTTTTCTTACTAAAAATCTCCTCTCTATTGGGTTCACAATCCTCATATTTTCTGATGCATGAAATAATCAAATCAAGTTACAACACATAATATATTAGCAATCCCAATATATTGAAATCGAAACAACACAAATAAACTAAGGGAAACTTGTGTAAACTTACGGTGAAGCTGAAATTAAAATCGAATCTACAAAACGTCCTAATGAGCATAGCACATACAGTAGAATTTAATGTCTTGAAATGCATTATTCCATCTAGAACAATTTCGAATGTGGTGATAAAGCTATTGAGACTCGATTTGCATGGTAGTGGCATAGTTTGGAGAAGACAAAACTGGAAGTTCCCAGATGAACCATACACTCTTTTGGCCTTGAAATTCAAACGTCTTTAAGTTCCTTTAGTACCTACAAAATTGACCCTTGCAAAGATTTAAAAAAGCCAAATAATGGATTTAAAACTTCAAACATTAGCAACGATCGTTGTTTAGCAAAATGCTCACATAATATGTGTGGGAAAAACTCAAGTTTTGTTATGTTTTATATTTATAATAGAATAGCTTTTCTTTAACTCTTAGAAAAACCAAACTCATTTATAGAGAAACAGACAAAAGAAGTTTACAACAGTTTTTTACTAAATTCCAAAAATTATGCTTTATAATTTATAATATGTGAGGATGATCTTACAAAAATGGACACGAACATAGTGTGTTCCGCTAGTCTTTCATGGTGTTTTCTTTTCCATTTGTTCGATTACTCTTCTTATGATTTTGTGATTCCATTTTGAGCTTTCATTCTCTTTCTTCTTCTCGTCTCTTTCTCTCTTAAATAACCATATTAGAACCAATAGCATCAACTAAACCACGTGTAGGTGCATCCTCACCAGTCCAAACACTCCCTTTGCAACCTCCTCCATTTTATCTACCTGGCAACACAGGAAAAAAGGGACACTTGACTATTTCAAATTAATAGAACGAAAAGTATGTGAAACCAAAACAAAGAAAGAATTGATGCGTATATATACGTTCATCGATCTGGAAAAAGTTGCCTTGCCAAAATTGGAAGAATTTCACAGCAGTTCTTTCTACCTGAAAGAATTTCAAACGCCCAAAATTAGATTTTACATTTTACTATAAAATAAAAACCCAAAAATTATCAAATTATAGAAAACCAAACTGAATTTAAAGAAAATGCATGGGAGAGAGACTTACCGATTTGTGTACATTCTTAGCATGCAAATGGGTGAGAACTGAAACTTGTAGAGAAAGAGTAGGGAAAGAAAAAGAGAGAATATGGAGTGGTAGACTGCAGTCAGAAAACAAAAAGAATAGAGTTGTACGTGGAATTGTGGAAGGTTACAAAGTCTCTGGAATGATCGATTGTATAGAGAGGTTTGTGTGAGGAAGAAGTTTGATCAGAAAATGGGGGATAGAAGATAGACGTGGGTGGGTTGGTTTCCGTTGGCAATTATCTCCTTTTTCCTGTAATCTTTTAATTTTGAACGAGAATTGATGATGAAAGGCTGTGAGAGTTTAAAAACTGAACGGAAACTGCAATGTAATTTGAAAATTAAACATGCAGAACATGGTGATTCTTCCTCCCACGTTATTATTTTTTTCTTTTTTAATTTTTTTATCTAATTTTTTTATCATTTTTCCTATGATTATCTGATATGTTTTTGTACCAAAATGTCCTTGCAGATTATAACCCTTTTGATATTGTTAGTTGTAACTGTTTTTGTTTGGGGGGCTTTTTAGTTCAAAACTTTTTGGTAAAGCCTTGAGACACCAAACTCTCATTCTAACTTTCTAATATTAAAGATTAAAGATTAAAGATAAGCCTATTTAGGTATTTCGGGTTGTAGTTTTCAAAACTTCTACGTATTTAGGTCTCTTCTTTCTCAATTGAAAATTATGAATCGAATGCTTAAATTTATCTTATTTTCCCTTTTCTCTCTGCTTCTCCCTCTTCCTTCTTCCTTGCGATGATGGATCCCATCATAAATTTGGTCATTCACTATACAAAATATTACACACACAAAAACACACACGCCGAAGTCGTCTCTCATTTAACAACAAATATGATTTTTTTAGCCTATTTTAAAACTTCAAACCAAACAGATATTAAACCATATATTATACATAGAACGAGTCTAAACGATAATCGATGGATCACTTCATCATATGGAATTTGCGCTTAACAAGCATAAACAAATTTGCCACATTCTCAATGTTAGTAAACCGAGGTGTCTTTGAGAATTCTTCTATCTTGTGAAAGTATCTTTCGAAAAGTTCTTCAGTATTGAGTTCGGATCCGAAATGCTTGCATACAACGCCTTCAACCGTAGCTCTTATATGAGAGACGCAAGCTCGAATATCATTAGGAGTACTAAGATTTGTTGGGAATAACAGTTCCTCTAACCTCTCGATACTAAACAGGCTCTTCATTCCCAACACCAAATTTTTAACTTCAGACGGACTTGGAATGTAAATTGGTACATTAAACGAGTCCAGAAGATCCTCACTCACCAACCCCTGCAATTTGTTAAAACCATTAGCCAAAAAAGAAAGTAAAAATTTTCCATATAATTGGATGACTAACGATCTCTAATTCGAATAATTTTTTTGTAGGATGATCTTTATATGATGATTAAGAATTGGACAGTTTTGATTATAAAATTTGTATGAAGAAAATACATCATTCGCAAAGGATGGACATGGAGTGGATACAAGTATTATTTTAGGTTTACCTCTTTGGCCATATCTGCAAGTGAAAGTCCCACACACTCGTAAATATGCGCTAAAATTGAGTCCGAAGGGAGAGTTGACTCTTGCCGGCAGGGTATGAGAAGGGCCAATAACCCATCATCCACCAACTCTACCGACCTTGCAGCAAAGAAACCCTCCATGTCCCTCACAAACTGAGCTGAGAAGGCCTCCACAACTTCATCAGAGCTGCTCACGTAACTGACTCTTCCTTTATTCCATGCAGGAGACCCTTCTTTGGTGACTTGTTCCGGAACCCTACTCAGCCAGTGAAGGGAAAAGGAGGTGTGCATCACGTTCATCGAGGCCTTAGGGAAGAGCCGGCCATGGAACGAGCCTGGAACTCCGGCCACCATGTAATTCCTATCGACCGGGAACCCCTTGAATAGCGTGTTGAAATCGTTAGAGACCTGGTCATTGAAGAAGACCTGGAACTCAGGCAATTGGGTTTTGAAATCCTGATGAGTTTCGAACTTGAGCTTCACAGCTTCTATGATGGTTTTGACGCAAGCGAAAGTGTTGGGTCCAACTGAACATCCAAGGTCTGCAATTCTCAATATTGTTGTGATATTGCCATTCAAATTGTTTTGAATTGTGAAGTTTTCTTGAATGCTGTCTCTCAACAAGATCTTTGATGCATCGAATCCCTGTCTCTGCCATAATTGTAACTGTTTCAATCATCATGAATTCATAGCTAGTCTCGAATTTTCAAGAAAATCAAATATGAAAATCTCTCGGAATTTATTTAAGGGAAGTGATTTCTGCAACCTTTTTCTCCCTTTACATACTTTGGACTGAACTAGTTAACAGTTAGCTAGGCTAGATTCTGCTCAGCTAGCTAGTTCAACACAAGAACATACAGATAGATTCAAACCTGAAACTTGGAGTTCTTCTTGTAGCTGTTGAGGCCATCCCCACCGTTCATTGCAAAGGACTCGTCCTCCATGTCCTTGTACTCGAATCTTAACTTAATTTGCCTCTTTATGTTGGAAAGTCAGTATTTTAGTCCCGCCCATGGCTTGTTATATACATCCTTCATAGTAAGAAAATTACCAAAATATATAATTCTCGATGCTACATTGTTAGTAGTAAAATGATTCATGTGATTTAGCTATTAGGTTAATTTAGTCATTTTGTTTTCAATTTGGCCAATTTGGTATTGTGTTTATTTCCGTTAGCCAATTAAGAACATTGTTTCATCTCTCTCCCTCCCTCCTCTTCCTACTTGAATAGTTACGATTAAGTCACATTAACATCTTATATTAATTTTTTTATAGAAACAATAAGACAAATAACAAAATGTGAGAGAAAAGAAGAAATTGAGCATAATAAAATAGGAGAAAATCATACTCTCTGCCACACACTTTGCAAGATTGACACACGCACACGTGCGAGTCCATCAGCTCTCTCTCCTCCTTCTTGTGGGTCTCTATCTCTCTCTTCTTTCACCAGCCCATCAGATTTCTCTCGGGTTTTTATCACAAATGGTCCTTGACATTGATTAAACACATCATTTTGGTCCCTGACATTGAAAATCAATAGAAATGGTCCCTGACATTGATCAAACACATCACAAATGGTCATTCCGTTAAAAACTTTTTGGGCAATTTTCAAAGATTCGTAACTCAATCGTTTCTTAACCATATTCGACCCATGATATATCAAAATGAAGATAGGAAAGTGTAGAACAAGATTATACCTATTTGGAAACCCAATGGTTGCCGGAGATGGCCGGAAAATAATGTGACTGGTCTGCGAAAAAACTGGAAAACTCGCCTGAAATGGGGTAAACTTTAAACATTCATAACTTCTTTAATAATCAACGAAATCGAGTGATTCAAAAATGAAAATCATACTTCTCGATGAGACTAAGAGAATGGTAGCTTTTGTGATGGCTAACTCGTCGTAGTTTGGCCGGAAAACGACTCGAAATTGGCTAACTCGAAAATGGTTATCCAAGTTCGAGCCATTTTCCGGTCGAACCATTCTCTTTTTCGCGTTGAGAAGTATGATTTTCATTTTTGAATCACTCAATTTCGTTGAGTATTGAAGAAGTTATGAATGTTTAAAGTTTACCCCATTTCAGGCGAGTTCTCCAGTTTTTTCGCGGACCAGTCACATTTGAGGCTATTTTCAGGTCATCTCCGGCAACCATTCGGCTTCCAAATAGGTATAATCTTTTTCTACACTTTCCTATCTTCATTTTGATATATCATGGGTCGAATTTGGTTAAGAAACGATTGAGTTACGAAGCTTTGAAAATTGCCCAAAGAGTTTTTAACGGAATGACCATTTGTGATGTGTTTGATCAATGTCAGGGACCATTTCTATTGATTTTCAATGTCAGGGACCAAAATGATATATTTGATCAATGTCAGGGACTATTTGTGATAAAAACCCGATTTCTCTCTGAAAGAGCACAAAACTTGTGAATTATTAAATGGGGTGTGATATCCACACACCTTATTTTACTTCTCTCATACTTTTTTGGTTTTCGGCCGTCGGATCGGATGAATTAAAAAAGATCAACGGATAGAAATTAACAAGAGGTGTGTGAGAAGTAAAAAGGTATATGTGGATAGCACATCCCTATTAAATTTGTGTCTTTGATATTAAATAAAGGTTTCTATGTGCTTTTGATTAATCAAAATTTGTTGAAGTCCTTTTAATTAGAGCTCACTTATTTTAATACAATAATATGGTGTCCAAGAGCTCAAAAGAGCACAAAACTTCAGAAACAGAAAACTAGGAAGAAATCTCCAAGCACATTATGAGGTGAAAAAAAAAACCTAGAAGTTCACTATGTATTTGGTTTGGAAATAACTTGACTTCTCAATTCAATATGTGGTCTACTCACAAACTTCATACTTAATGATCGAAATTGTTCATATTATAAATCATCATGTACAAATTATCTCTACAAAAAATCATACAATATGAGACCATTTAGTCATCGAACTGTGACGAATTTGATAAAGGAACTACGAACCGTCCATCTATTTATGATAATTAATTGACTAATCAACCTTAGTTTTAAATGATTTTTTTTTTTTGTAGAGATTATATTTGCAAAATAATTTATCGTATGAACGGTTCCAATTATAAGCATGAAGTTCTATAAATCGGCCATTAAGTAAATTAAGGAGGAACTCCTCAATCTTGAGAAGCCAAGTCTTTCTAATTTGGTTTTTAGGTTTCAGAACTTCTATGAAACAGCCAAATCGTTTTTTTTTTTGTAGAGTTTTCCCTCTCTCTCTCTCTCTCTCTCTCTCTGTTCCTCCCTCCCTCCCTTGAGTTCTTCAATTCAATATTGGAATTCGGGTTCAGTTTTCTTCTCTCTTGTTGTCTTCTTAATTTGGTTTGTTGTTTTTGTGGATTCGGTTGTTGCGAACTTCAGAGATCCAATACAACCTTTATACCGATCCCTACTTAATTAAAAAACAAAAGAAACTCAGTGAAAAGGTTGAGTGAAAAGGAGAGGCATATGGGACAAGAGATCAAGCATCTCCTCATACGGTAAATATTGTCCTACTTTGAATGCTTTAGCGAGAGGGAGGGAGGTCGGCAATCGAGCTGGTCGTTGACACCGACGCCGTGACAAGCCTGTGTTTTTTTTATTATGAATTTAGTTTCTTAAGTAAGAATCCAACTCTCGCGCGATCCTCTTTGTGAGAATTCCAAAAATCCGTGAATTATACTCATTCATCGTACATTATACGGTCAAAAATTATTTTAAATATTTTTATTTAAAATTAAATATAAACAGTTCCTGACAAAAATTGATCACATGATTTATAGATTCTCATGATCTTCACCAAAAGGATCTGGAGAGGAACTTGTTGGCTTAAGTAAGGGTAGAATTAACTAAAAAAACTATTTTTCTATACTCTTCCCTTTTCGACGCGATTATTGTACAGGAACATGGCTCGGTACAACAAATGTCATAATATAATTGGTTCGAAGTTTTTTTTTTTTTTTTAAATTCCAACCAATTGTATTATTGCACTTAATGTACTTGGTCGTATTTTAAAAGGCAATAGTTGATCCAATTCCTAGACTTAAGGTATTACGATTAGCTAACAAACGAGTTGTAGCCACTTTGTCATACGGTCCAGTGATATTTATCTTCACTTGCGAGTGAGAATTCTTAGATTCGATTCTCGCTAAAAGCGAATTTATACAACATTATTGCTAGCTCATTGTAAGACCAACCCAGTATAGATAGTATCGTTTAAAAAAAAAAGAAAAAAAAACAAATTAGTTGTGTGCAAGAGAGTTTAAAAAATTAAACTAGTTTGGTATCATCGCTACTTTTGGACATTTTGGAACGCATAAACATTGACGATGAGTATATAGGGTGCGTTTGGTACGCAGACGGAACGGAACGGGACGGGACGGGACGGAACGGGACGGGACGGGACGGGACGGGACGGGACGGGACGGAACGAAGGTGTAATTTTTGAAAAAGACATGGGGTATATTTGTCTTAAAATGGTAAAACATTGTGTTCCACAGACGTGGAACAAACCCGTTCCAGGGGGAGGTGGGACGCAAAAACATCCAAAATCTGTCCCGTGGAACAACCCGTTCCACTCATTTTTGGCGCACCAAACGTGGGACGGAACGCCTCGTCCCGTTCCGTCCCGTCCCGTCCCACGTACCAAACGCACCCATAAGCAACATTGGAAAACACATACAAATAGCAATGATTATAAACTACGAGTTAAAAACAAAACTGGAGGAATATTAAATCGACAATAGGTCGCATGTAAACTACAATGTATTAACTCTTTCATGGTATTACTCGACTTTGTATTCATATGTAAACCAATAATAAATTGTATATAAACTACAAAGATCGTATTGTATCATATCTTATCAATCGATACTTAAATCCTAACTTGCTAACGCAAATGACACATTACTACAATAAAAACTTTGATCTCCATCAATTTTCCTCCCAAACAATTAATGAATTAACTCACTAACTAACGTTTTCGCTATAATAAAAAAAATCGTAACTTCCTAACAGAATACCTCAAAATCTCTATGAAGCCCAACTTTTTTTAGCTCGCAAGGATAAGATCAGTCCAACCCAGAAGCCCAACTTTTAAGGCCTCATACGGCTCGTCGTTTGGGATACCAAAACAAAAACAGTGAAAAGTTCGTCAAGTCGCCTGGTGTCATCGCCGTCCCCAACTGTCAACTCCCTCCACCTCCCAATCCGCCATTGTTCGCAACGAAGCCCTGACGCACCAGAAGAAAACGCCTTCATTTCCCTGAGCTTCTGTAGTTTTGTAGCGAAACTAAAAAATTCGTAAGATCGACAATGGCAGAAAACAATCTCAACGAATTGGTCAGTAAAGTCTGCATTTTGCAGCAAAAAGATGGTTTCTTTTTTGTTTTTCAGTTTTTCTGGCAAATCAAAATTCGTTTTTACCAAAGTTGTGGTTTTTTATTATTATTTTATTAATTACAGATTGAGAAGAAGTTTAAATTCACGAACGAATTGCAAAGTTTGAGAGAGAAGATCGAAAAGGAAGGCGTTGAAGCTGCGGTTGAAAAGTTGGTATCGCTTAAGCAGTCACTGAAGGTTCAGAGTTTTCCTCAAATCTCTGTTCACCCTCGAAGCTTCGTCGTTTTTCGGTGATGGGTTTTGATTGAAATTCGACATTATTATTGCAGGAGCAGGAAAGGCAAGAGCTTGAAATCCAGTTTCTGAGCAATTCCGGATTGGAAGCTGAAGTTTGTAGATTGGAGGACCAAATAGCAAATGGGGTTGATGGTGAGGATGTCCCTGATGAACTGAATTGTTTGTTGAGTGAAGCTCTGGTGAAAATCGATTTGGCGAAAATGGTCATTTTCTGTTGCTCACAAGTCACAACACTAAGATTGCTTGCTGCAAATTTTATTTTTGTAGTGATGAAAATAGTAATGTGTGTAGGAACTTGCAGCTAGATTAAGGGCACTGTTGGCAGTGCAGCGCCGGATTGATGAGGTTCCTTCGCAGTCCGAACTAGTCCAGTATGTCCTCATTATTTTCTCTGTTTATGAGATTTTTGGTTTCTATAGCATTTTGATTCTTGTTGGTTACTCAATCAATTTTGGTGAATTGGTAAAAGTATGAGACTTGGAATTCAGGGAATTTTATATATATTGTCTATGATTATTGTGTCTGCATTTAGGATAGAATAAGGCATGTTTGGAAGTGCATTTAGAATAGCTAAAAGCATTTTAGATGTCCAAAAGCACTTCTGACAATGTTGGGAAAGTGCTTCTTTTAGAAAGAATTTTAAGTACTTTCTCAGTACATTCTAGAGAAGCATATCCAAACAGGGCATAAAGAATAGCACTTACTCAACCTTGGGTCTGCAGGTATGAATGCCGGTTGTCAGAATTGAATGCTCAAATTCAGGGAAAACTTCAACAAACTCGGAAGTACTATGCCACTTATAATGCACTTTTGGAGATCAAGGAATTGATACTAAAGGAAACATCCTTGTTAAATTCAATAAGTTCACAGGCATGTGACTGCTGTGAATTTTTCCATCAGTACTTTATTTGCTCTGTTTTCTTGGTAGATGTATTTCCGTAACCTTATCATGGTTGTGGTTGTGATTTCTTCGGAATAATTTGATTTTAAGCAGGAGGTACTTTGAGTCCTGGCTGTTATTATATTTTCTCATTACCATCGCTTGTTTTGCTTGTAAACTTTGTATAGTTTCAAGAAGCATCCTCTACCACTGACGGTCGCATGAAACTTGTCAACTCCATGGAGGGGATCATAAAGGGCAGTCAACAGGTATTCTCCAAATATAATCAAATTGTATGCATATATTCTGTCGGGAATCAAAAGAGAAAACCCCCATTCTGCCTTGAAACAAATTTTGCAATCCTAGTAAAAGAAGAAATTTAGCTCCTTAACCTTGGAAAGTATGATTTTGTTGGTTCTAAAGAGCATTGTTTCTCTCTTTACATATTACAACTTTATTTATGCGTCCTCGGAGATCCATAGTTTCTGTATTCATTTTTCTAGCCTAGGAGGATGGTTCTCCTCAAAGAGAACCAAATAACAGGTGCTGGTGAATGGCACCTTCGATCTTTTATTTAAATGATGATTTTGTCCCCTTAACATTCCCGTAAATCATTTACTAGCATCCAGTCAGCTAGCCTTTTGATCAGTATGACCTTACACGGGCACGAGTTAATGGCCTTTTTACTCCTTGCTCGAGGAAAGGCCGGTTAAATTTCTAACTAACATTGAAGGTATACATAGCTTTGGAGAGGACTAAATTATGCCTTGCAGCCGCCTGGTGAACACAGCTACTGTGTGGCCAGTCCTCTTGGTTGATAATGAATCTTTAACAATGAAGCTCCTTGGTAGTATCATAGAGATTAGTATCAAAGTAAATTTTATACAACTTCGGCACTACAAATTTGTTAAGCGTCAAGACAAAAACATTACATAGGTATAAGTATGGCTATGTGATCACTATTGTCATCTATAGTTTAGGAAGGGATTGCAACCGAACAGATGTGCCCACCAAGTGAAGAGAGAAATGAGATAAAGCTTGAGCTATTAGCCTTTTATAGAGACTAATAAGAGAAAACTGATATAATTTACCAAGTTCTGTATCAAGTGTATTTCAGATTAAATGAATTTTGTATGCTCTTTAAGGAAACAATATTTGTGCTTTGTCAATTCTTAGAAGGATTCAACATTGCACAGACCGTGTATGTCATTTTCTTTAACCTGAACTCATGTTCAACTTCTGTGCATACTTTTCCTGCGGTGCTTCTAGTTGTTCTGAAGGTTGCTGCTAAATCCATCTTACAGAAACTTCTAAAGGTACAGCTTGGGCTTCAAGAAGAGCAGAAAGTTTGTGATTCTCTCAAGGAAAAGTATGTTGCAGCAAATGCAAAGCAAAGGCACTGTTATTCACTCTTAAAAGCTTTTCAGGTAAGCATTGTAATCATGACACCACAGTTAACGGTTAGTGTTTGCGGCACATAAGTTCATTGCTAGTTCAAGAGAATGCCGGGTATGCTAGTCTTGTAATGTTATATTGCAGTATCTAGAAAAATACAATTTCCGAGCATTGTCACCTTCATTGGCCACTACTACACAAATGTAAGAGCGTTGGTTAGCAGTTTGGCGGGAATTGGTGGTCATTTTCCTGGCTCTTGCCAAACTATATCTAATCAGTACTCCAAAGTCCCTCGAAATTACTGATATAGATCTTTAAACATACAGGAAGAATGTGCAAAGAATGAGGTACTCCGAAGACATTCTGTTTCGAACATCTCCGAAGAATGAAGTGTTCAACCATCCTCATGCCATTGCCTATCAGTCAAATGCTTTACCTGCTGAATTGATATGAGGAACTCGTTCACCGTATGACTTGTAAATTAAAAATCAATTTTTTTTGTTTGTAAACATTTTCCCCGTTGACGTACTCGGAAGAGGTTCCTTTTAGAACATCTCCGCAACATGTGAAGTTGAGGAGTTCAACCATCCTCAGTTGAGTCAGTTCCTCATGCCATCGACCATCAGTCGAATGCTTACTCAATGAATTTTGTGTGTAAAAATTCTCCCCAGTGAGTTTCGTATATGTTGTATATACTGATGAAGTTATCTATGTTATTTGTTATTTTGTTCAAGAGTTTTAGTTTATGAGATTTGAAATGATGATCTCCCCTAACAAAGTAGAGACTGAATCCCGCTAAAAATGGGGTGGCTATCTCCGTTATTTGTGAATAGTAAAACAATTAGTGAATAGTGATTACCAAGATATAAACAATGAATAGGAAAATCAGCTTGATGTAAAAAATGAACTTATCTTTTTCCATACCGACGAGGGTTTGATGGCTTACTCTTTGGAGGTGCTTCCGTTCAAAGTCAGGCTTGAAGTATGTTGATACGACATCAATGACAATGAAGCAACATTGACATTTTTGTTTCCATCCATCTTCATATACTTTGATTAGGGCACAGTCAGCAATTATATGATGACACATTGGCATTACTACTAGCTGTGTCAACTATATAAGTCCAATTTAACTAATTAATTGATTGCATCTTTGCTTGGATCCACTGTGCACTTCTAATATCATTTTTTTACAAATGATAAGACAATTTACACTAATATTTTTGAATTATGATGAAGATAATTCAAATTTAGGAGCATAAGAGATAACACAATATTCTAACTAATTTAGCTAAACTCATATCCGCCTTCAAATTTAAGTGCACATATTATCTATCATCATTGTAATCATCTTCCTTTACATATGTACGCTTCTTTTAATTAATTAACTTCTTCTTTTTTTTCGAGATTTGAACTTCGGATCTTTTCAATAAAATGAAAATTAAGTATTGACGGACAAAATATCATTGGTTAGCAAATACACATTTTAAATTTAGAAGACCAGTGAGTTAGATTATTGTTAAGAGCATATTCATTTATATATATATATATATATAAATGACAATTCTTAGATTTGAATTTGTGAATAACGAGTTTGATCGATTCCAATTTATTTTCTCATCGCTAGTGTAAAGTATCATATCAAAAAACAAAGAAAACGTAAAACATATAAATACTTGTCAATCATGTGGCATGTTTTGTAAGATTCCTTTCTGCATAATCTATGAGGCTTTTTCTTTGGACGCATTAATGTGATTTGATGTATAAAACAAGAACATTATATAAGAAAAGACTTTAAACAAAAACATAAAATAAAGACATAAATTATATCTATGCAATCGTTAACAAAAAGAATAATGCGTCATGAAATTTTTGGCTCCTCATGCGTGATAGACTCTAATGATAAGTTTTTCTAACACTGAGTGAGGGATTTCGAACACACCTCTCAAAATTAACACTAGAAAACTAAAGGCCATTCAAACTACAATTTTATTATTTTATAGTTGCTGGAAAGAGAAAAACTTGAATAAAACATATTGATTAGGCATCTCTTATATGCCATAAAAAATTTAGGTTGAACCAAAATACGTATACTTTTATAAGTTTATCTCTATATGACGTCGTTTAAATACCCCTCCGTAAAGTTTTACCCGACGACTTGTCCTTTGCTTTAACAATTCTTTTTTCTAAATTTAGCGTATTACAAGCAAGATAATGTGTAACATTTGAATAACCGTTAGGTTACTTGTCACTAAACTAATAAAATATAGTAATTACACTAGGTTTTTTAATTAAAATTTCGACCAAAAAGTTAGAGAATGAGTTAAACTTGGTATTATACCTTTGCATGAGAACATGGCTACTTTTTGCCTTTTCCAAGAGAGTTTGTAAGGTGGTCGCCTTCATTCCTCTTTACCTTCATTGCATGCGGTGCATCATAGGTATAAAATCTTCGGAAGTTGAGAGAAGAACATGTACAAATGATATCTTTAATTTTTTTGACATGTTTGTTTAGCATTCTTATCATGTAGCTAAATTGACTTATGCTTGATTCTGATACCCGAAATCATGTGTTTGATTCTCTCTATCTTTGATGCCGCTTGTTTGTTGGTTCAATAAAAAAAAAACACAATAATATGCTACCTTTTTAGACTAGTAAAATAATTAAACATTGCAATATAACCCTATATCCATTGTAAATATGGAATCCGGCTGACAATCAAGAATAGGTATCTCTGACCAATTGGATTCCTAAAAGAAATACAAAGGCTAATAATCTGTGGAGAAAATTTTCCTTGTGCCTGTAATACAAATGGTACACCACATGCTGTTATATAAGTGGTAGAATGTTATTACTTTTTTACACAAAAACCTCACCATAAGGACACGTGGTGTACCACCTCGTGTTCCGATCACATTGAAATATCTCTCCAATCTGTGTATGATAGAGAGCGAAGGAAAACTTCTAATAAATTAGCCTCCCTCAAATCAAAGTTGTTATGAAATGTAAACAAGATTAATCAGCAGCATGCATACTTGTATGGCTAATAGAGAAATGAAAGGCTGCGTACTAATTTGACCTAGAAACCCTAGATCCACATGACTAAATTTGAATCAAAGACAGTGCCTTTTCAAGATGCTTGCCCTTGAGGTCAACATACTCCTTTACTGTGAGTGAACGGTACTTGGGCATTTGTCCCGTAACCCTAGAGAGAACCGGGGAAACTGTAAAATCTCTTGGGGGAGCATAAAAGTAGGCCATGGAAAACCGTTGGATCTGCTGGTTCACCACCGCACGATGAAGAACATTTGTATACATGCCATTGGAGAGAATGTGGAGATAGTCACCAAGGTTAACTGTTAGGGCACCAGGTACTGGTTGCACCAGAACCCACCCGACTCCATCTTTGAAGACTTGGAGGCCGCTGGTTTTGGATTGTTGGACAATGGTGACAAGGGATGTGTCTGTGTGTGCTGCCATGCCCATGGCTCGGGTCGGATCGGGGCAGGGGGGGTAGGAGTTTAGTTGCAAAGCAGTACCTGGACTACTTAACCCACTGTCATTAAGCCAATTCAGTTCCTCAAAATTAATGTTCAAGGATTTGAAGAAAATGCGGATTATTTTCTCTGCTAAAGCCTTCATTTGGTTCTGGTAATCATCTATTGTGTCACTGCAAACACATAGAAAACTTAATGTAAGTTGTATTTTGATTAAATATAACACTTAAGGGATAATATGTCTTTCAATTTTCTAGAAAGTTAGATGAAACTTTAAAATTTTAGGGAGTAAATTCACTAAAATATATTTCAGAAAGTAAATTGACAATTGGGTAAAAGTTCGGAGGGTAAATGACAATTTATTTTTAAATAAATTATTGAACAAAGTAAATATCGTTTCTAAATATAAACATATATACCCTCTCAAAAACAAACTTTTACACAAAGTTGCTTCCAACATATCCCAAACAAAAAGCATGATATGCAAACTTCATAATTAAGATAAAATTAATTTTGTCATTTTGCCTACGTGCATGAAAATGCATGGAGGACTTACCAAAAGCCTTGATAGTCTTGGGGCCAAAGTTGCTTAGCATGATCGATTGGAGACCCCATGATGGTAAACCCTTCCTGCCACATATGTCTGTCAAAAAATGGCGATATATGAGGACGACCGTACCCAGTGGCCCCACCTGGAGATCTTAGGGCTTTCAGTTTTTGGTCAACAGGGAGACCAAACAATTTTTCAGCTTCAGACTCCACATCCTCCATAAACTTTGTAAGGCCATGGCCTATCACCTGAAAAATACCCCATGTCTCACATGCCTGGATCATGAGACTTGAAGCCTCCGAGTCCATGAGGTCGATGACAGGTACCGGTAACGGGTCGGCGGAGGGGACCCCGAACAAAGATTCGTGAGATTTATCATGCCATACATGAGATTCAGGCAATTTCTGGACTGAATTAAAGTCGATAGGGATGATATGATGGAGATGAGCTCTATAGGGATCTGCTATAGCACCCATTGGAAATTCTATAAGGAGAAACAACAAAGTTAGGATGAGAAAAGGTCAAGGTTTGGTGAGATCAATTTGTTGGTGTTTGTTGATTGGATTTATCAATTTGTTGGCACAGAGATTTATATATACATGAAGATAAGAGAGAAATATGTATGACTCATGACCTGACATGGAAGGGTATCTGATCTTTTATGGAAGATAATCTTATATATAGATTACCTTCTATAGATCTAAACATATACATGTATCATGTACATGCATGTTAATTAATATTATGAAATATGAAAAACCCATATGGAATGTGATATCCAATAGGGACAAATGACATTCTATATATAGATGATTGCTTAGGTTTTTAATTATAATGCTTTTAGTCGTCTGATATGAAATGTAATTTGTCTAGATCGCGTCCAATGTATGTTCAATGTATATATAGCATATGAATTCATGTGCACATACCACATAGATCGCATTTACATACATATGAATTCATGTGCACATACCACATTCTTGGTTTGGATGAAACTCAAAGATAATCTAATGAAAAATGTTGTTTGAAGTGACAATTGTTTTCTGTCAAATAATGAATTTATTTTATTCAGGGCTGTTTCTGAGATTTTGGGGGTTCTATGCGAAATTTATAAAAGGGTCATTCCTTAAGATAGTTTTAAAAAGGTAGGACAATGTATTGATGCTAGAAAACAATCACTTAAATCAAAGTAAAGTTTAGCACTCACTAATTGTAAGTTTAAAAATATCATTAATAATAAGTATAAAGAGCTACAAACATAACGTTCACTAAATAATCAAAAGTCTTCAAAAGCTCTAACTTTGAAGTTTCACTTGAATATGTAACATTATTGTATAATAAAATTGGAAAAAAAAAAACCATTTTAAGGTGTTATTCGCACTCAAAATATCTCATTATACTACAATTTTTTATACTTAAAGGAAAAAATTACGCTTATAAGGAGTGCACAATGAAATTTAAAGTGCTAACAAAAATAATTTTTAAATATAGAACATTATTACATATAAATATTAGATGACAAAAATTTTGGGGCCCCTTCAAATTTGGAGCCATGTGCGACTACACTTTTTGATCTCCCTCAACGTTCCCTCTGATTTTATTGAATACTAATCGTATATATCATTTATCACATCATATAATATATTAATATGGTACAAATATGTAGTCGGTCTAATGTAAGATCCCACATCGCCCAGGAGTGTGGATCATGTAAGTCTTATATGTATATTCTCATTTCTACCTAACACGAGGTCTTTTGGGCGTTCACTAGCTTCGGGTTCCATCGGAACTCCGAAGTTAAGCGAGTTCGCACGAGAGCAATCCCATGATGGGTGACCTACTAGGAAGTTCTCGTGTGAGTTTCCAGAAACAAAACAATGAAGGCGTGGTTGGGGCCCAAAGCGGACAATATCGTGCTACGGCGGAGTCGAGCCCAGGATGTGGTGGGGGCCCGGGCCAGGATGTGACATCTAACGTTACTCAATCACTTAGGATGAGGATGCTCTCTAAATCCTCTTTGTGAGGATCTCAGGGGTCCTCACATCCAATTCGTTCACCGTGCATCGTTCGGTCAATTTAAATAAAAAAATTTAAATGATTTATGGTCGCACTATATGATAAACGAATAAGATGCTTAGGATCTTTACAAAAATGATCTGGATGAGATTCAAATCCACTCAGTTATTTGCTTACATAATCCAAGTTTTTGTCGTATTAAGGGTTCAATGACACAAACTAATAATACTAGAATTAAAAATTGGAGTTGGAGGGGATTACGTCCAATGATGCACAGTGGTAAGGGCGGCTGTTGTTCACGAAGTATGTCCGTTGTGGTTTTGGAGGTATTGTGGGATAATATTTATAGTTGAATGGGGACAAAAGAAGGAACAACAATTCAACAAGGCGTAACATATTCAAAGATTATAAATTGAACAGTTTCGTTGTCCCATGATAAGGAGGACATTCTTTTTTGCTTTTGTGGACAAATGAAATTATGCCTTGTCCACAAGTGGGAAAAAAATAAATGAGTAAGGAGAGAGATTGGATTGAGGAACATGTTGTCATTGGGTATTCTATATCGGTGAGGGAAAGAAAGAAAGAAAGAAAGAAATAAGAGTTTAAATATGATTACCGTATTTTAATTAAAATTCAGCTATTTTATGATAAAATCAACACCGAACGAGTTAGCAATTGATAATTATCAAGTTGGGGACAAATGATTTTATATGTTTAAGTGCTGAACTAATCAATTTTATAAAATAAAAAAAAAAGAAATTAATTTGGTAATCAAAATTTAGTTTTGGATCATTATAGTTCATTGCCCTAAAAAATTCATTAGGCAGAGATAACGACCTTGCTCCAAACTTTAAAGAAATAGAAATTATTTTCATTTTCAAATTTCGAAATTTTGAAATTTCAAATAAGCCAAAAAAGTGTCTTTTTCATGCCACTGTTCTAAAGATTCTACAACATCTAAGACTCAGATCCTCTCCGGATCATTTCCATAAGGATCCTCCTGACCAATTGATATCAACCGTTGGTACAAATCCAACGGCCAAAGTATTTTCACCTGTTTCTCTCTCTCTTTTCCCCTCGACTCTTCCTCTTTCTCCTCCACTTAGAAGCACCCACCGCGGCCACACCTGCATCTTCTCAATCTTCTTCAGGCCCAGCTCACCCCAATTAAATTCCTTGTTAACTTTTGTATTTCTTATCTCTGAATCTTTAATTTTTGCAGTATGTTCAGTGATATTTTTGTAGGTCCTTTGAATTCGGACTTTATTCAATTTGCAGCAGGGGAGGTTGGGGGTTGCTGGGTTGTGTAAGATTTATACATCTATTGGAGATTAGCTTTAGAATTGGCTCAAATGACTATTTCTTTAAGGGCTAGTAGAAGGATCCAACACTCGTTGGAAGACCATAGTCAGGATCAAAAGAAAAATGGAAGTTTTACGGCGAAGTTTGGGATGTTGGTTCAAATCCAGTTCTTAACTTGGTGGCGGCGCGTCGGGTGTTTCGAATTGAGGGAGAAAGAGGAGTTGAGGGGAAGAGCGCAAGGATTAGTATCAACGGATGAGATTAATCGGTCAGGAGGATCCCACGGAAATGATCCGGAGAGGATCTGAGTCCGTGCTAAACTAACAAATGGGTGATATGGTGGGTCTATAATGGTATCTGATCAATTTGACAATCAAGATTTAGTTTCTGATCATTTTAATGATTTTTTTTTTTTTTTTTGTCTCAACGGAGGAGTCAAATCTTTGATCCTAAGCCTAACCTCTTTTTTCGTTTTTATTATTCTATCAAGAACTATTCTCTAGAACTAAAGGGAAATATGATTCTCTAATAATTTATGTTGTGCTTATAGATATTCAGTTGAGAATGTAATGTAGAGCTTATTGTTTAGTTTTGCATTAGAAAGATAACAAAATGGGAAGAGAAAAGTCATAATTGAATATATAACAAACGAAAAATATGAACATAAAATTTTAAACTTAACTAAAAGGAACATGCATGGCTTCAAATCTTTTTAATATTGAATATTTTATTTGAACTCATACAACCTCTTTCTACACTCATATTACTTTTAATTAAGATACAAATATTTCTTTAAACCCAAATTTATTACCTAAAATGTTCTTACAAACCCAATTCAATTGTAAATTTAGCCATACGCCCATTTATCTACAATGCAGTCGCCAAAATCTCTGCCTTCAATTTTGCATAACCTATCAATGTAGCATTGCCTCATGCCCAATATCTGCATCTACAGGCAAGGCAACCCCAAATTATTTCAAATATCAAACCCACAACAAAACTTCAAAAGGTCCTCCTTGAAAATTTCAAATTATTTCAACTTAATGTCATTTTGAGAGCTGGAAGATCTATGGTTCTATGGGTTTAAAATTTCTTTGAGTTTTTAGCTCTTTTAAAATAGAGATTTCTACTTTTTTTTTTTTAAATTTTACCATCAATTGCTTTAATGAATGTTTTTTTTTATCTTTTTCCTGAAGTTTCAAATTTCCAAATGGATTTTTGAAAACCCAACCCAGCAGATACCAATGATTGTAGAAAGATTTCCTGATTTGATCTTTTTCTTAAAGTTTTGTTTTTATTATAAGAGCTATTAGGGGTTTTGCTAGAATGAATGTAGGATAAACAAGAAGTGAGGTATGGTTTAATTATAGGGTGTGAGTTTATTCATAAATTTTAGTTTTTGTGTTAGCTTCATCTTGTACTTTATGATAATTATGCAATAGAATAAAAAAGACAATTCACATTTAAAGTTTAAATTGGGTGTAAAGAGAGGTTATTTAGCTTTAAATAAAATTTTCCTTTTAATATTTTGTGCCCTTTTCTGATTTTCCCAAAATACAAGCAGAGAATATTGAACAAAAGTAGGTTAGATACTGAAAATCAAATAATTAAAACCATGAAATCAAGTTTGAGGTGAAATTAATGTTAACATTCTGCAGGCCAATATTGTGTTACAATTGACATTATAACATCCAAAACTTGCGTCGGTAGAGTAAAGATGGATTTGATATACCCTTTTGCTAATTGTGCTGTAATATTTGCATGATTGCATCTTTTGAAATTGAACCTTCATGGCAAATTAATGTAATTAACATATATAATTAGCTACCAAAGTCTAGAAAAATATGGCACCTTCTTGATGGAAGTTGATGTTTTACCATAAAATTAATTGGCAAATGGTTAGTAGCACAACTTACATATAAGCTCATACAAGGTATTTTCTTCTATCAATGTGAGTCATTCTCAACACGTCATCTCACGTGTGTCGAATTTTTAAGTCAAACACGTGGACAACACAAATAAAATGACGTAGAGCACATGTAGGACAACCTGCTCTGATACAATGAAGGATGTTGAAGGTCCACCATAAAATCAATTAGCAATATGGGAAGTAACTCAACTTAATTATAAACACATGCATAAATTTTTCTTCCAAAATTGTAAGATACATTATCAACACGTTTTCTTTTCCTATCACTCGTAAATAAAAGTTCATGAGTTCGTCACTGAGTAGAACTAACACAAAAATTTGTGCTTATTTTCTTTGTTTGCCGACGATAAATGAGAAGATGGTTGACAGAAGTTAATTCCAATTCCATGCGGGGAACAGTCAACCAGACGTTTAGTCGTCGGTGGCCCATTGCTGTTGATGAAGTTAGAAGCTCTCTAGTTGACCACGTTCCATTGGAGGTTTTGAAGATTTTGCAAATGGAAAAAATGCCTCCAAAATTACAATATTCCCACCACGTGCCAATCATCTCACGGAAAAAAATAAAATGTGAAGCTCAAGTCAAGCGAGGAATAATGAGAAGAGAGATAACTTTGT